ATATATCAGGGTTGTCCAACCTTTTTACAGCCTGGGCCATTATTTTATTTTGATGACAACACGAGGGCCACAAATTAAGAAAAATCATTTTGTTTAAACTTCTAATTTAAAACAACTAATTCAATTTCAATATTGTCAAAAAAAATGTATTTAATGGGAAACTTGGCATTGTTTATTTTTACACAATTGATCAATGTCAGCTTTTATAGTGGACGATGAAATCCGAAGTGTATCAGTGAGGTGTTCATCTTTCAACCTATGTCTCTGCTCTGATTTAACATGTTTCATTCTTGAAAAAAATTGTTCACAGATGTATGTGCTTCCAAAAAGGGAAAAGTATTTCATAGCGTGTTTGCACAAATGTGGATAAACTTCAATGTTCATGTATTTTTTATAAAGTTCTAACAATTCAACATCTTTGTAAGCATCTTTCAAATCTTTATTGTTTTGTAGTTCTATTAATTCCATTTGAAATTCATCTCTTACTGTCTCAACTTTAATGGAAAATGGATGTGAAAATAAGTCTAACTCATTCTTTACTTCTTTAAAATCACAAAATCTTGTGTCAAATTCATCAATTACTTTTAAAATAAGATTACAATATTTTTCATAGTCAACTGTGTTGGTATTTCTTTCTGACAATGTTTTAAAATGGATAAGTGATTTTTGACTTAATTGTTGTTTGAGAAGTTTCAATTTCAAAACAAATGTTTCTACATTTTCATATAATTTACTAATAAGTTGATCTTTACCCTGCAACTTGATATTTAATTCCATTAACATCTGTGTAATGTCAACTAAAAATGCCAAATCATTCAGCCAGTCATTATTTTCAAGAAAGCTTGTGTCTTTATCTTTAATTTTTAGAAACTTTATTATTTCAGGTATTAATATCCAAAATCTTTTCAAAGTTGCAGCTCGACTAAGCCATCTAACTTGGCAGAAATAAATTACATCTTCTGCCTCACTTCCACAATCCTCAAGCAATTGTTTGAACTGTCTGTGATTAAGGCCACGACTTCTTATAAAATTAACAGTTTGGATAACAATTTCCATGACTTCTTTCATTTCTAATACTTTTGCACATAACTGTTCCTGATGTATAATACAGTGATATGAAAGAATGTTGTGATTAATGGATTTCTTAAATAATGCCACAAATCCAATATTTTTTCCTTTCATTGAACTTGCTCCATCTGTAGTGACACCAGAGAGTTTTGTTTCTGGCAAATCAAACTTTATCATTGTTTTTTTGACTTCAGAAAGAATATCTTCCCCTTTAGTAGTGCCTTTCATGTGCCTGAAATCCAACAGTTCTTCAATTATTTCAAAATTACTTGTTATAAATCTAATAAAAATAGCTAACTGAGCCGTATCACTTCTATCTGTTGATTCATGAAGTGCCAGACTATATGCTTCACACTTACATAGTTTTTCTTTCAATGCTAATTCAATATTCTTTGATAGATCTTCAACCCTTCTTGCAATTGTCTGGTGTGAAAGACTGAGATCTTCAGCAAATTGTATTTTTTCAGGGCATACCTCATTACAAAATTGTTTTATAGAGTTTTTTATTAAATCTCCACTAGAAAAAGGTTGACCACTTTTTGCAATACTTTCTGCAATTAAAAAACTTATTTTAGTAGCACTGTATGAGCTGATTACTTTACTTTTCATTATTGATTGTTGCCCGATAAAATTTTTCTTTAGCAGTTCTACCTTATCAACACGAAATTGGCCCTTGAATTTATCATAAGTTGCTGCATGTTTTGTAGTATAGTGTCTATTAACATTATACATTTTGCACACGGCAATTTTTTCAAAACAAATGAGACACATAATTGAATTATTTTGCTCCATTACAAAATATTCATTTGTCCAAGATGGGTTAAATATACGACCTCTTCTTCCACTTTCA